AACCCAGTTCGCGAGCTTCGGGCGAGGGGCTGGAGGTTGAGAATACACACCCAGAGACAGACCAACACACAGGCCTTCCAACACTGGTAACAAAAAGTCCTTCTTTAATAGCACCTTGGAGGCGTATGGCCAACAGGTGAAAATCCCATCCTCTGATCCTCTAGGCAAAGCATAGCTTTCAGTCGCTTCAATTAGAAGGCTCTAGACAGGGATTCCTGAGAGAGTTCAAGGCCAGGACTCAATTAGTCCCAACAGTTTCCTTTCTTCTGACTTGTTTTAAGCGCACATCTTACAACTTCTGGGGACTGGTGAGTGTGGGGAAGAACTGGGTGACACCTTCAACAATCTTGATATTAGTTAACGAATGAGCGGCAGCTGCATTCTCTCTATAAATCCAGCGACTAAAATCCCAGTTCTTCAGGAGCTTCACAGATGATTTCAGCTAATGCACAGGGTTCTGGAACTTACATGAAAGCACCATTTTAAAAAATTGAAGTTCGTAATTGTGTCATGGAGTGAAGAACAAGTTCAAAAAGTACCAAGAAGATAAGACACACAAGAGCAAGACAGTCGAAAGGCTAAGCAATTTTCTATGAGAAACCAAGGAAAGGTATCAGAGGAACAGGGGTGCAAGATGGGGAGAGGAGACCACATCTAGAAAGCAGGTCCTTGGAATGGAAATTTTCTGGGTCCTCTCAATGACAAAGACCACAGCCTAAGTAGAGAAGGTAATTCTCAACTTCTTTTTTTCCCTGAAGGACTATTCAGGCTTCTGCCATGCACGTTCATCAGCCATCACAATTAATGGAGATGCTTAAAAGAGATGCAAAGATGAATAAAGGGATAAATCCTACTTACAATGACTAATAAGTTTTATAAAATGGAATAAAAAATACTGAACTACCTTACAGTGGTCTCACTTAACTAAAGCAAATCCTACTTTGTCTCACGGTGGACGATTGTATGCAGTTTCCTAATTTCTCAGTGTTGAAAAAAATCACCTAGGAAGAGTTCTTTCAACTTCCCACCTACCCTGGCATTCCTTCTCCCCCCCCCCCGATAGTGTCAATTCAATATCCCCAAAATGAGTTTTCATCCTTCCATATTTTTTATTGTATTTTCCATTACTAGGAAAGAAGAAGATTCAACAATTGAGAATAGCAAATTCATTTTCATTGTCCTACATAGCAGGTGAAAACAATTAGGGATGTTCTGTAGGATCTGGTACAAACATAGTCTGGCCGTCCTCACTGGCTCTACAGAAGTTAGGGGCAGGACCAGCAGCAGTGCTCCTGGCTACTTCCAAGATACAGCCTTGAAAGGGAGGCCTAGACCAAACGTAGAGGCGCACCATACGAAGCACATTGTTCATGGCATGAAGCGCAAAGAATGGGCAACAAAGCAATGCCACTACACAGAAGAGGGATGTCTCTGGCAGGCAGGGGACCGAAATGTACAGTCAATAATGCAATATAAATTCTTCGTTGAGATTCTTGACAAGTTGCTAAACATTTTTCGTGAATGATTTTTGTTTGTGTGCGTGTTTTTCTGGACAGGGTTCTCTGTGTAGCCTTGACTGTCCTGAAAAGCACTCTGTAGAATAGGCTGGCCTTGAACTCATAGAGATCTGCCTGCCTCTGCCTCCCAAGTACCAGGATTCAAGGTGTCCATCACCACTGTCTGGCATGAGTGATTTTAATTAAGAGTCAAGGCAATTTAAAAGGTGATGGTGAAGATAAGGATGATAATGAGGGTAGCCATGGTGGAGTACTCTAAAGAGTTAAAAACCTTATTTGGCTAGGGCTATGTACTTACAGAAAATGGTTTGGAATTCAAACCCATATAATGTAAAACCCAAGCTGTCATCTTAACTGCCTCTGTATTGAGTGAGGTTGAATTAGAAAGCTGGGAATTTTGTGAACTTAGTAAGGCAACTGGCAAGATGAAGACTCGATCACATGGCATTACAGCTACACAAATGTGCATTTGTACTGGAGAGAAACATACTTGAGAAACTTCTGCAATATTTTTAAGGTGATTATTTTTTTACATGCTCAGCCAAGAGCAAGAGTCTGGCCTTTCTTTTATGCAAAAATCAAAGTTATAACCCAAGGAACATTCCTAAACATCACAGATGGGCAAAGCAAGAGCCAAGATGGGCAAAAATGATACATCCCAGAGCAGGCATGGAGCTGTCGATGAATGTTCAACAAAGGTTAGAGGGGCCCGGCATTCAAGAAGATTATTCTGCCCTTCTGGGAGTATAAGTAGAGCTCTGAGTCACCTACTGAGCTTCCAGAGAACACAAGATAGAAACTCAAAGATTTACATGAAAAACACAAAACACTGTTCCGGAAGTAGACACAGAAAGAAACTTCTCATCAGGGTTTGCAATGAGGTCATCTAGATGTAGAAGAATACAGAAGTATGTATCTACACAATTAGCTCCAAGTCTATTTATACACATTATACAATTGTACATATATTTCAAGGCATCCCATGACAGATGTCCATAAGCTTCAGCCAGCCACTGGGTGTATCCAGAACACCTTGGGGCTTACAAATGTCTGTCAATGGAGAGAACATCTTTCTTAATAGTGAGGCCAGCTCTGGGAACTGCTCTGTAACTTTGCCGATAACAATCCTTCCTCCTCCCAGACACTATAACCTGAGGACTAAACATACAAATAAAATGTCTGCAATTATCATTGTTCAAAAGTCAGAGGCCTTAGAGGATTCTGATTAACTAATGGTAAGCCCTCTGAAAGAACACTAAACCCGAACACCTATCTAGTCTCCTCAACAAGACAAGGCCTATACTCTGGCACAAATGAGCAATTAATTTTAAACAAAACACTCCTAACACTTTTTAATCTTGTTTTCTGGGATATTTAAATATTTTTTGATAATACTCTTATCCTTAAGTATCAGGGGAAGAGAAAGAATGGAGAACAGGTGTTTGCACCCCATCCCCTCCTCTCTAAGAGAGTGGAACACACTGCAACATGTTAACACACAGAGAAGAAAGCAACTGATTCTTCCTCACCCTTATCCAAACTGTGCAAACTGAGTGAACAGAGTTAAATCAAAGTGGAAAATAACCTAAAGGTAATTCATATTTTCTGAGGAATACATTGAAATCCTCTAGCAATTGAATGAGTCTGACATCACCAGACTTAATATTACATTAAATTCTCTCTCTCACACACACACACACATTTTCAAAAGGAATAAAAACTAATGACTTCCCTTCACCAAGCTTCCCTCAATAATTTTCTTTGATTTATAATAACTCTAGATTATAAATAGAGTCAGAGACATAAATAACAAAGACAAACACAAATGGGTCAATTGATTAGGATTAGGATTTATGCGAGCAGCCTAGTTTATGATATTATCTATCTGGACTGTGTAAAAATGATAAAATGTATTCTAACTCAAAACACAAAGTGTGTTTCATGAATTAGAAATAAATCAGATCTACTCAGACCTGTTCTGGAAGATGAAGAGGGACTGATACAGTTAAAGATCCTGTATCTTTAAGCCTTCAGAGAGAGCAGACCAGGATTTTACAACACACAAATGGCCTATGTTTCAGTACTTCAGGAGTTAAGCTTACAATATTAAAGTAAGTTGAACAATAATTACATCTCAGTGATGACTGATTTTTATTAGCATCTTGGGAATATTTACCATGCTCTGTTACCAAAATACAGCACTGTTATCTAAGATAAAGTATGCACTTCTGAAATATTTTTTAAGAAATCTTTAACTTTCCCACAAAGTTCTTACAAAGGTCAGTTTAAAAACAAAAAAAAAAGATATATCAAAGTTTGCTGGTGTTTTGTTTCTAGTCCTTTTTTAAGAACAACTATTACTATCCCCCAAAAGGAAAAAAAGAGTCATAGAAGAAAGGAAGGAAGGAAGGAAGGAAGGAAGGAAGGAAAAAGAGGAGGAGCCGAAGGAGGAAGGGCAGAGAAAAGGAAGAGGAGGAGGTAGTGGCTTCTTTCTGGAAGGTCTCCAAGATGATGAGAGAGGTTAGTATCTCAGTGTTTCAAGTTTGCAACTTGATTAGCTACCACAGTGAGGAGCTAAAAGGAAAACACACAAAGCAAAGAAAACAGGTTTAACTGTTTGGATCTTTCAATTGAAACCTTGAATTTCACCTGCTCTGTTGGGAAACTGATCTATTAGTAAAAGGATCTAAAGTATGGTGCAAACCAGACCATGAGAGAAATGTGAAATATAGTGGTGACCAGGCACAAAATCATAGATTATAAGTCTTGAAGCACATGTTAATTATCCTAACCTTTTCTATGTTTTGATTATTTCCTTAAAGATAAATCTCTCTACCAAAAAATGAGTGAATGAATGAATGAATTTAATAAATGAAAAAAAATTAATAATCTACAACTAAGGGTTTATTACTGGGAGAGACTGTATAACTAGAGATTTTAAAACATTATGAATTATCTCAAAAAACAATTTTCCAAAAAATAATTCAGCCCACTTAACAATATGAATTGGATTTTTCCCTGCTTTGACTATTTTAAACTCAGGAGTATATCTACATTAAAATAGTTTATAACTATATAAGCCTAGTTATAGGTAGCTCCATTTAATTGATAACTCAAGCTTTTATTATATTATTAATATTGTTAAGGTAGCATAGCTGAAATGCAGTGTGTAAAGAAACATTCTGAATCAGTTTTTGGTTTTCCCTTTTGGCTGTGCTGAGGAATCACACCCAGGACTTCAAGCAATGGCAGAACCACGTGGCTACATCCAAAGCCTTGTTCTTTAAGACAGGGTCTCACTTCATGGCACAGTCAGACCTTGAGCTCATGCCTGTCAAGTCTTTGGCTCATCAGCGCTCAGGGGAAGCATGTGTCCCCAATCTGTACACCTACCCCCATTGCTCTTTCATACTTCATGGTGAGAATACTGGTGGTAAAAAAGTAAACAAAGACAATTTGTTCCTTAAAGTTACATGTTTAACAAAATACTATAGGAATGTATAATCACACAAAACACAAGCAAGTATTTTTTTTACTAAGGTTTAATTTTAACTAATAAATTTTAAGTAATGAGTATAATACCAATCCAAGTCTTCACTAAGTTTCAATGCATGACCATTCTTGTAACTCAATTTTTTTCACCATGGTTTATTTTCAGCCTATTTTTTATTTTTCTCCTTAAACATTCTTCTCTTGTATCCTTTTTCTTCCATTTTTTTTTTGAGTCACATACAGTTTGGCTAAAGGGCCATCCTAGTACAGTAATGTTTCAACTTGCAAGGAAGGACTCCCTTGTTGAGCTGGTAGAACTCCACCAGCTGGATGAGATCTGTAAATCTTGTGTGGCCATCATCCAGGGTGTGGAACAACTCACCATCATCTTCCACCTTCAATAGGACAAGCAACAAGCAAGTGAAAGGAACAGCAATAAGCAAACAAGCAAATATTTTAAAAACAAAACAAAGGAGGGGATAAACCGCCCAGAACTGCAAATATAGTTCTCTGCACACTATGTTTTCATAAGCCTAAATCAACAAGTCTATAAAACTAAGGACAATAAAAATAGCCCCGTGGTCACTTTGCCTGGTAATATTTCTTGCATTTAAAAGGAGCTATCTATTCTTTTATTAAGCAGTCTAGTTCTTTCTCTCCTAATTCTCCCAGTGTTCAGCATATTTAGGATAGCACAACAATTGCCTATCAGCAGTGAGGATTCTGTAGTCTTTACTAAGCACAAAACATCTGTTTCCATTTAGAGTTTTTGCGGTTTTTCAATTGATTTTTATTGAGCTCTACATTTTTCTCTGCTCCCCTCTCTGCCTCCCCCCTCCCCTTCAACCCTCTCCCAAGGTCCCCATGCTCCCAATTTACTTAGGAGATCTTGTCTTTTTCTACTACCCATGTAGATTATATCTATGTATGTCTCTCTTAGGGTACTCATTGTTGTCTAGGTTCTCCGGGATTGTGATTTGATTTGTGGACTGGTTTTTAGTCATGCTTTGGGGCACAAACCTCTTCATATTTGCTGGGGTTGCTGATCACATAATAAAAAATAATCAAAGAAGCAGGGAGGACACTTTAGGCAACTACTGGAAAAATTCAGAAAGAAGAGACTCAGGAGGAACCACCAGCATTCTGGCAACATAAGAAATACCTTTGTGAGGATGAATTACATCTCTGCTGTTTCGGGGGCTCCCAGTGTGCACACCACACACATGCACACATGTGTATATGCATCAGCAACACAAGAGGAACACCAAAGCAGACTATAACAAAGGATTTTCTTAATGTTCTAAGAATAATTTGTATATCCACTAGCTATACAACACCTTTGATTTCGTCACTGTTAAAAAGAGTTAACATCGCTGGTAGAATTCTGGACTTCCCACAGGGCAGGGAACCCTGATTGCTCTTTGGGCTGACGAGGGAGGGGGACTTGGTTGAGGGAGGGGGAGGGAGATGGGAGGCGGTGGCGGGGAAGAGACAGAAATCTTTAATAAATAAATAAAAAAAGAAGAAGTTAACATAAAAAAGTATATATATTTGAGAGGAAGAAGGAAGCAGGGGCTTTCAAGCACTGTTTTGTAAAATAATCTGTTAGTGGCCTTCAGAAGAAGGACTTTTTAGTGGCCTTTAACAATGTGTGGCATGAGGGTTACACAGTATTGCTAAATCACATTTTGTGGAACAGAGGGAAATTTAATTTTTTACAATTCCTGTATTTCTTATATTAATTCAGGCTCATAAAACCATTTCTGCCAAACTTAACTCTAGTCAAAACACAAGCTTCCAAATTATATTTGCAAAGAGGAACAAAAGACAACCAAAGTTTCCCAAAGCGTATGCATTAAGAACATCTCCAATACATGCATCTGTGCATCTCCAATGGATTGCAGGGCATGCGACTGTGACTACAGTTACTTACGGGTATGATTTGAAAGTGTTTGATCTTTTGTCCATGACTCATTGACAGTACAAAAGTTCTGGGGTTACTCTGACTGTCCCGTACCAAGAAAACTCTAAAGAGAGAGAAGGAATTTCACTGTGTCTTTCTTCACACTCAGATTTCATAGAAATACACCGTGTTCAAATGCAGGAAAGCACACATATAAATGGGAGATTCGGGGCCTCCTTTACTGGTTGACCAATGAGAAAGACCATGCAACTTAGAAAACAAGAGTGCTAAACTGTCATTATACTAATGGAGTGTAGTAGGGTAGATACACAACCCTTTGGCAGGCTGCATGATTGTGACTGTCAATGTAACTTTAAAATGGCATCAGTAATGACTATGATGCCCTATTCTCACTGGGAACCTAGGTACTCCCACACAGCTATCCATCACAAAGGATGGACATTGCTATTTTAACTGACGGGTCCTGACAGGCCCCTGAAAGGAGGTAATTATTTGGAATCAAATAGTTTTTTACCCTTCTCCTGCAGTGGGCCCTCCTGTTTCTACCAGCACACACACAAGTACTAAGTAATGAATATATTCTAACAAATTAATCTCGGAATTGTTTCCGAAATGTTTAGGTAAAGATGTTTTAAGTAAAAGAAACACCAAACAACTTGCACTTTAACCTTGAAGAGGCCAGCATAAAACCTTTATAATGTCAGGCTAGACAGGCAAGATGTGGCCTAATGGCCTAAGGAAAAAAGACTACCAGGCAGGGATTCGTATTTCCTGGCAGCGCTGAGCAAATCTAGTTTTGTATTAATTGTTGGGAGGCACCCTGTGTAAATGTCCCTACGCTGACTCCAATACTACTCTCACTGTGCCTGGGCCAAGTGGCAGCCAATGTCTGAGGAAAGCATCCATTTCCTGTGTACTGTGTGAGACTCAGAAATTACATCACTGGGGGACTGGGCAGAGGGCATTTCAGTGGTAAAGTCAGCTCTAATTCTCTTCCCCAAGAAGATCAGCACTACCACCTAGTGGTATACTTGGCATTAACACATCTTTCCAAATAGAAAAAAAGAAAAAAAAGATTAAAGAAACATATTCAATATTATTCTTTATTCAATTATACCATTTAATTTACAAATACTGGATTCAAAAATTAATGGAATTGTAATCTTCTAGAACACTTAGGTAAGTGCTTATTATTTTTTTTCTTGGTCTCTTCTCTGTATAACTCTGCAGCTCATCACATTTAGAACCCCAGGGGCTACGCTAGGACATATAGAAACATAATCATATCTCTTCTTAGAATCTAAGATGTGCATCTGTGCATCTTTATCTAAATGCCAGTATCAAAAAACTAAATATTGTCAACATCCTGAGCCAACTTTTGCAGACAAAAGATCCATCACTACTTGCTTAAATGGATGCTGCTTTCTTTCCTCTTCAAATACAAACCCCACCTTCCAATTTGCTGTGCATTTGAGAAAGAAAGACGGCTAAAATTATACTAAGTGAATGAAATATACTAAGTGAAACATAAAATCCTTATTATAAATGTTGGATAATTCATTTAGCTTCTTCTTTTATACTCATTAAAAATAATAAGGGTTATTGCCAAAAAGCAATTTTATAGGCACATTCTATTTTAGAGAAATGGCAATAAAGGCATAAAAAGAACAAAAAATGGGGAAAGAATTCAAAATATATAAGAAAAATTTTAATTAATATATTTTGCAACATATCAAGAAACCTGATTTATGAAAACATCATGCTATAAAATATATTTTAGATTATATCTATTATATTTACAAAACAAAATGCTGACACCTCAAGAGATTTAGATGCCACCATTCATCCACTAGTATTTGAGATGATAGCATTCATGAAAAATGCATATTAATGCTGATTGGTCAAGAATAAATTATTTACACACAAACATTAAACACTGCTATAACAGAGTGACAACCATGCTTATGGAACAAAAGGGCCTCTCATTTGTGATGAGTCAAAATTAAAATTTCTTAGTATGTGCCGAGTTATCATTTTCATAGAGGGAAAAAATCCAAACATTATCTCTCAAACTGCAAATATCAAACTTACCCGTCCACAGGCCCCTGCCGGATAATCAGTTGCTGAGCTTCGTCTCGAGAAATTCTGTGATGAAACCATGGCTGGGACCGATGGATAGCTGAAGGAAGACAAAGGTTTGTCTGAAATGACCCTGATCTCATTACACGCACTGCCCATCCTGTCCCATGGGACTGAATCTGAAGGACCATCCATCCAGTTTTCCCTCCACTGGCTGACGAACACTGAGAGGAGACATACCCATGTTCACAGCCGAGCTCTGCGAGGGGGCCGTGGGGCTGCCGTGATTCCCCAGGCGTAAACATCCTTTCTTCTGAGCATAAAAAGGAACGAAAATAAAATCTCAACTTCTAATCTTCTAAAATGACTCAAATCATAAACATATGAGAACAACGAAGAGAGCATTACCCTCCAAGCGAGCCCTTCCTCAACGGCAACGGAAAGCGCTTCCGTGGGGTTGTCTATGACTCTGCTCTTCTGACCCGAGAAGTCCATTGCTACTAGGGAGTTCTCCGATATGCTTCTCTGAAAGATTCAAACAATAGAACAAAAACTTTTGAGCTATCAATGTATACCTTACCAACTACCCTTCAGTGTTTTTCTGTTCATATGTGTCCACTCGGTCAGGGACCCTGCAAAGGTCACGGTCAACAGGGAAATGATCCATGCCAGGTGCAGATTCCACACGTGTCTTTAGCAGGCGCTGGGTCAAAACTTCCAGAGTCTGACTTCACAGTTTATTTCCCTTACACATTTAAGCACAGCAATTCTTTGAAGAGAGGTTTCCATGTGACAATTATCTTAACAAAGCTTTAGGCATAGTTATATAGGAACTCCCTTGCAAAGTAGCAAAGCACCTGTGACCTTTACGATGAGCATCCATTCTATTGACTGATAGACAGTGCTCAGGGTAAGGGCCTAGGGAGGAAGGATTCAACAAGCATAAGGATGGAGTCTGTTGGTAGATAAATTTTATCTACTAATAAAGTTCATGGGACCTTCTTCATAAGGATGGGTTCTATTCACTGGGAGATTAAGCTCAGGATGAGGGCCTAAACAATGTTCAGGATATTGGGAGAGTCCAGAAGGCTTGCTCCACAGAATAGCAAATGATCACCAGATTGTTAGACAACGTCCACTCTGGTCTTCTAGGTGACCAGACATCAGTCATTTTCTTCCTTTGAAGAAAAAAGACCTGCCTATTTAACAATTCATGGTTTTCCAATGCTTTCTCTAGACTGTGCCTCCTACAGGATTCTGAATGTGGTTAATCAGAAATTTAAAAGTTAAATTGTGTATAAGTGAAGATGGTGGTCTAATATTCATCAATCCAGTGAGCTACTGGGTAATTGTCAAGATAACTAAGTGAATACTGCATGGATGGATTTAGAAAAACTTTGAAATAAACTAGCACTTCATCTTTCCAGGAAGATGACAAAATACCTATTGAGCGAGGCATAACTATTATGTTAAAATGATCTATTAGTTCATCCTTCTAAGATTTTTTGTCAATAAGCATTTAAATGTCAAATTCAACTACTTATGAAATAGCCTTTTATTTTGTGTGTTTTTTCTTCATATATGTCTGCACATGTAGTGCCCAGGGAAGCTAAAAGAAGAGATTGAATTCCACAGAACTGGAGTTATAGAAGATTTATCCATGTGGGTGCTGAGAATCAAACCCAGGTCCAGCAATCAGTGCTCTTAGCTCCTGAGCTATCTCTCCAGCCTGGACTCACTCTTTATAAAACACATATCTACAAAAGGTATACTTTAAGTTGGCAAACATCTACTTAGAATTAGTATTCATGTTTTTATTATTAATTTTTGATGTATATATTCTATAAAAATGAATTTAGTTATCCAAATATAATAGTACAGAGATTGTATAAAAGTACCCTTGAAATAGACACAATTTCAAAGTTTCTAAGAATTCTAGGGAATAGTAATTTATAGTCCCTCAAACCTAAAGAATACCATGTCAGGAATTTAAAAATCCTGAGAAACTTACTTTTTTTCATTGTTTGTTATAATTCTAAAATGTATCATAGTTGCTGAATAAAAGTACTAGTGTTTTATGGAGGAACAAACTTGGACATCTATTTTGAAAATTTCTGGCACCAACTCTAATTTAAATTTAGGAAGCAAAATTTTGTGGGATATTAATTCAGACATTTCCATAATATTCAAATGTCTGTGTTCAACACATCATCTGTATCCCTCTTTTGGGGAGACCCATGGAAAAAACGGAAACTACACACATGAGCCTGAACCACAGACAGTGTCACAAAATGAAGACTGCTTTAAATAAGCGAGAAGACCATCAATTTTTGATTTGGTTGTTTATTTTATTATGATGCTTATTCTTTTGTTTTCAATTCTCTGAAAACAATCAATGCCTGGACCTAGTTTCCTTTAGGGTGTTATTTGGCAATACATCTCTTAAAAAGTTTATCACCCCACAAAGTCAAGAATCTAGAAAACAGAATTTTCAAAGTCTCTAGTTTAGGAGTCTTGCTGTTTTCATAAGCCAGGGAAATAACATAAGACTTTCCCAAAGAAAACAGCATGAAAGAAAGACACTTATTATTAATCTCCACTAATTATTAAAAGAATGAACCCAGAGTGTCGTGATGGTGGTGAAATGAAGCCATGCCACACGTGGGAACCTTCAGAGAGTGCCGTTTCTTACCTCCCCGAGGATTCAGTCAACAGCCCACAGTCACATGTGGACTTCACACAAAATTTTATCCACAAGGAAGAATTCAGGGCTCCTTTATCACTGCATCACAGACCCCTACTTATTAGAATCTGCTATTTTCTCTTCAAAACATGAGAGAAGTTGCAGCCTTATTACGGCTCACCTCTCTTCCTGAGACCCGCATGCAATCCCCTGTCTGTTGCGGGGAGTTTTTATTACTGACGGCTGCTCTTTCCAGCAGATGCTGTCTCTGTAATCTCTATTTGCTGTCACACTTTAGTTTGCCCTTCTCACCCCGTGATCTTCTGTGCCGGGCTGTGGACCAGTCGGATATGCCTTTGCTTTGCCGACCTTAATGAAAATCATCCACCTGCCCCAACACAGAGTAACTGGCCTCGATCCTAATGATAGCTTGATCCCTATAATATCTCTACCTCCACATGCCAAGATGGTTCTGCACTCTCTAGTGCCTGATAACATAAAAATGATGTTAGGAAAGAGACATAAACACAATTCGTTGCTCTATGTTTTCTTTCTTTCCTCTTCTTCTTCTTCTTCTTCTTCTTCTTCTTCTTCTTCTTCTTCTTTTCTTCCCCACAAATGGCAGACAAGGATGTAAAATAAGATCCCATGTTCATAATTACCTGGCAAATGTAAGGAGATTGCACAACAAGCAAAGAACATTTTTATTCGCTATGGTAACTACACTGTGGGAAAACAGTAATACAGCAAATGTTTTCTACTGAATGGCAGGTGGTGGATGAAAAATTAATAGTTTACCTTTAGTGGACAAAGAAATAGAAAGGAAGCTGAATTTGACAGCCTGGAAAGGTCATTTTCAGCTCGATTTTCTTCACATAGGAAAGCAATGCTGATAACGTTCAAAACTGGTTGGATTTCTCAATTATATGCCTCCTTTTCTCCCCCATTCTTCTTAGGAGATGGATGAGACATTCCCCAGGAAACAGTCCATGATTATAACAGCCTTTGCCTTCTTTCTGAACAAGAAAGGGCCTGGGACTAGGTTGGGTTTTCCAACCCACACTGAAATCTGATCCACCCACTATTAGTGCCCTTGGCACACCGTGTCTCTTTATGAGTTTAGCTACAAGGCACACCATCCCATTCGAAGGAGCTGAATAAATCCACAGCCCCTCATTACAAAAAGGGCACAGAATTTCTCCTATATTGTCACCTCATCTCATCCCTACAGAGCCACAGGACAGTAGAGACACGTTGTCCTCCTAGACTATTCCATAATCCCTTTACCTTTGCACAGTAAGAAGCCAGAGACTAGCCAAAGTCATGTAGATAGTTTCTGGTAAAAAGGGTAACTGACATGCTGTGTCTTGTCTACGGTTCTTTTACTGACACAAATAGGAGGCACAGGAAAGAACTTGAGTTTAGAATATATAGGTTAGGTCAAAAGTGGAGAAAAGAGGGAACTCTGGTTGATTTCCCCTGTCTCCCCGTTCCAGCTAGGACTCTATCAACAGGCCCTTCTTTCACAAGAATCTGTACTTTGCCCTGTGAAAAACCAGGTATATCCAGCCTCCTGAAATGACTGCAGCTGATTCCCATCTCAAAGTCAATGAGGGGTAGCTGTATGCAGTTATGGTGGTCCGTATGGTGTATGAACTGCTTTCATCATTTCTCAAAGTGTATATGTTGAAAAAATTATGGAATATGCCTTTAAATGTGTAACTGGGTATCCTGTCTTTTATATGTGACATCCTATTAAGTAGTCCCTGAATGAGAAGCAGCTAAGGTAGGTGTGTGGCTTCTATTAAGCCTCTAATTCTTCCATAATAACCTAGAAAAGTGAGATCCTGCACAGACGCCAGGATAAGCAAAACGTCTCCCACTGCTTCCAAGTCTCTAGCACATAAATCATGAACTACATAGATAAAAGTCATAAACACTGCCCTTTCGGATCATCACCGCCACCCCAGGGACAGGTCTCTCCCATACACACACTTAAACTGCTTCTCCTCTTCAGTCTCCAGACCCAGCAAGAGTCACAATGGAGTTTGTCTTCCTATACATAATAATCAAGTTACACTATAACTGAAATCTCTCTCTCTCTCTCTCTCTCTCTCTCTCTCTCTCTCTCTCTCTCACACACACACACACACACACACACACACACCTTGACTGCCAGCATTTCCCATATTAAACAGTTTCTAAAGGTAAGAGTTGACCCCATGTTTGGATGCTAATGACAGAGATGGGCATGGAAAGGAGTTTGATTATAATATTTTTTATGATTAAAAGGCCATTAAACAATAATTGCTTCCAAATGCTTAGATGCTGTTAATAAATTCATCATAATAACTTCAGACTCTAAAAGAAATTTGGAGAGATTTAGAAGATTAAGATAATAAAATTCAATGTTTTTTTTTATATGCGAGGGATTGAAAGATAAAAGTAAGCTGGCAAAGTATAAAAACACCCACCTTAAAGAGATTGCTTTTATAAGATTCATTATCTTCCTTAGTTCCTTATTTTAAGGCTTATAAGGGTATGTTTCAAAAATGAAAAGTTATTTTTCGACCACTTAAAGGAACATAACTACAAAATTTGAGGGCCTTTTCTCTGCAGTTCTATCAGACTCCGTAGCCAGCATCATTTCATGCCTGATTCCTAGAGCAGAACATTGCATCTGCTAGCTGAGCAGTGAGACACACGGACCTTCCTTGGTCACAGCCATGAAGAATGTATGTTAACCTCAGTGGAGACACAGATTTCAGAAACGCACATTAACTAATTTGTAATGCAGGCACATACACCTGAATTTTGAATGCACTCAAATACCAAGGAGTACAGCAAAAAGAACAGAGCAGAAACTTTACATTCAGAAATAAATGTTTTGTGTTAATGGATAGGGAATTAAAACTAAGTTCCGAGAAAGTACAAGACGTGTGTCTACGAATGAACATCAAGGCGAAGCTGGGGAAGCAGTTCTGTGCAAATGTCATGGATGACCTAGATTTCGACCAGTTTTATGGTTTCCTGGAAAGCAGGTGACTTTTTAATAGCCTAGAACATAAAAAATATTATTATTAAAATATCAGGATGAAGATGAGCTTGAGTATTCATAATGTACCTTCAAATATTTTAATAACGGTATGTTATTTGTCTATAACAATACTAAATTAATATTGAAAGACATCAATAAATCTACAACTCAAATCAATGGTTACTGAGGCATAATCCACATAGCCAAGAAAAATATTCTATAAATTATCTTATTATGATCTTATCTCAGATGTCATAGTGATCCTGAATGCCTCACATAATCCTTTCCATTGTTTTTACTTTAACAATAAAATTATTGGCTTTCATTGAATGCTTCTTATATATTCTGTGTTTTTTATTACAGAGACTGAACATAGATAGGTAGATAGACTTCTTTATAACATTACATGAAAATGTTGCAAGAGAATTACTCTATTTGAGAACAAAAGTCAAAATGTAAACATTATATGTTTAGTGTAATGAAGTACTAGACGATATAATTATGAAGTCAAGATTTGAAACCTTGGTCCTTACCATGGGTGGTATGCTCTGAGAACTGCAGCCACTTCTACCTTGGTATGGGTGCATGTAATTCTGGTACAGCTGCATTCCATACTGCAGAACAGACACACAAGAAAACATGCTCTCAGGATATCAACTGACTGACTGTCAACCCATTCATAGCTATATATTATCAATACACATTTCCTTTTAATTTTTTTTACAATTTTTTAGGCCCCATACTTTCTTTTTTTTAATTTATTTATTTATTAAAGATTTCTGTCTCTTCCCCGCCACCGCATCCCATTTCCCTCCCCCTCCCCCAATCAAGTCCCCCTCCCTTGTCAGCCCAAAGAGCTATCAGGGTTCCCTGCCCTGTGGGAAGTCCAAGGAACCCCCACATCCATCCAGGTCTAGTAAGGTGAGCATCCAAACTGCCTAGGCTCCCACAAAGCCAGTAGGTGCAGTAGGATCAAAAGCCCATTGCCATTGTTCTTGAGCTCTCAGTAGTCCTCATTGTCCGCTATGTTCAACGAGTCCGGTTTTATCCCATGCTTTTTCAGATCCAGGCCAGCTGGCCTTGGTGAGTTCCCGAAAGAACATCCCCATTGTCTCAGTGTGTGGGTGCACCCCTCGTGGTCCTGAGTTCCTTGCTCGTGCTCCGTCTCCTTCTGCTCCTGATTTGGACGTTCTCTTCTCGTACAATACATCCTGAATGCAGTTTTCCATCCCACCATTCCTCCCAGATCCCCACCACCTCCCCTCTCCCCCAGATCCACTCCATTTCCATTTGCCCTGGGGGGGGGGGTAAGGAGGAGGGGAAGAGAGAGAGAGAGAGCCTTCCAGAGATATCAACTGAACATACTTAACAAGTTACAGTAAGATTAGGCACAAACCCTCATATTAGGACTGAACAAGGCAACCTAATAGGAAAAAAAAGTCCCAAGAGCAGACAAAACAGTAGAAACACCCTCACTGGTACTGTTAGGAGTCGTCCCAAAATACCAAGACAACAACCATAACATATGTGTAGGGGACCTAGCACAGACCCAAGCAGGCTCTGTGATTCCCACGTCTCTGTGAACCCTGTGAGCCCTAATTCTTCAGGCTATGTTCTCCAAATATCCTCCATCCCCCTGGTTCCCACAATTCTTTCTCCCCTTCTTCTGTGGGATTCACTCTTCCATTGCTGGTGAGGATGCAAACTTGTTCAGCCACTATAGAAATTAATATGGTGGTTCATCAGAAAATTGGGAATAGATCTACCTCAAGATTCAGCTATGACACTCTTGGGCATATACCCATCGGACACTTCATCCTACCACAGGGACACTTGCTCAGGTACCTTCAAAGTGGCTTTATTTATAAGAGTCAGAAACTGGAAACAGCCCAAATGCCCCCTCAAATGGAGAATGGATAAAGAAAATGTGATACATTTATACAATGGAATGTTACTCAGCTGTTAAAAAAATGACATCATAAAATTTGGGGGTAAATAGATGGAATTAGAAAAAAAATCATCCATAGTAAGGTAACACAGACCCAGAAAGACACATTTGTTATGTGCTTACTTGTAAGTGGATATTAGATGTTAACTAAAGGAAAATCAAGCTAAAATCCACAGACCTAGAGTGGCTAGGTGTGTGTGTGTAGTCCAGGGATCAACCTTAGTTGTAATTCCTCAGTTCAGTTATATCTTCCTCCTCTTCCTCCTCTTCCTCCTCCTTCTCTTCCTCCTCTTTTTAGAAAAAAAAACCCACATTCTATCCAAGAACTTGCCAGGTAGGCAGGGCTGGCTGACCAGTGGTGAACTTACAAATGCCTACCCTCAAGCCAGCCTTCCTTTCACATGGGTTCCAGGAATTCCATCACTCTAGTGATTCAGGTCCTCCCACTTAAAAAAAAAAATCACTCCATCAGGTGGAGTATCTCCCAGGCCACTTTTTCTTTAAGTATTCTTACAATATTTATTTTTGACTTCATGCATCAAAGAACTGGGGAATGAATTAGATTTCCAACACAGAGTTTCAATTTTCCAAATGTAAATAACGGTAGTGCCTTTACTTTCAGGAAACAGTATCATGGAGAATTAACTAAAACGCTACTGTGGGAAAGTAAGCCAGGATCATATATTCGAGAAACAAGCATACAAACTGCTGTGAGCAAACTCACTCTGGAGATGTCTGCATAAGAATCTGGAGGACAGCTTATGTTGTAGAAGATGTGGAGTAAGGGGAACACTCCTCTGTTGCTTGTGGGAGTGCAAACTTGTATAGTCACTTTGGAAATCAGTATGGCAGTTTCTCAGAATTTAGAATCAGTCTACCTCAAGACCCAGTGATACCACTCTTGGGTTTATATACCCAAAGGATGCTCAATCATACCATGAAGACACTTGCTCAGCTATGTTCATGGCAACATTATCCATAATAACTAGAACCTGGAAACAACTTAGATGCCCCTCAACAGAAAAGTTGATGAAGAAAATGTGGTACATTTATACAATGGCTGATGGAGGAAGGTCATTGGTTAAAAAATAAAGAAACTGCTTGGCTGGCCCTCATAGGTTAAAACATAGGTGGGAGGAGTAAACAGAACAGAATGCTGGGAGGAAGAGGAAGTGAGCTCAGACTCGACAGCTCTGCTCTCTGGAGCAGAGACGCCATGCTCCGCTCTCCCAGGCACATGCGATGAAGCTCCAACCCAGGATGGACGTAGGCTAGAATCTTCCCGGTAATACCTGTGCTCACAGATTATTAGAGATGGGTTGATCGAGATATCAGAATTAGCCAGTAAGGGCTAGAGCTAAAGGGCCAAGTAGTGTTTAAATGAATACAATTTGTGTGTTGTTATTTAGGGGAATAAGCTAGCCAGGCAGCCGGGGTGCTGGGGATGCAGCCCCACCGCTCCTATTACTACAAATGGTGTACTACTTAACTATAAAAAACAATGACATCATGGAATTTGCAAACAACTAGAAAAAAAGCATCCTGAGTGAGATAACCCAGACTCAGAAGGACAAAGAAGGTATGTTCTCACTCATAAGTGGATACCAGATGTAAAGCAAAAGATAACCAGATCACAACCAACAGTTCCAGAGAAGCTAGGTAACAATAACAAGGAGGACCCTGAGAGGGACGCATGGATCCCCCTGGGAAGAGGAATTAGATGAGATCTCCTACATAAACTGGGGGTGAGGGGGCACTAAAGCAGAAGGAATGGGGCATGAGAACGTGAGGAAATGGGATGGTTCAGTTGGGAGGAGAGGAATGAAGGTAATGAAAGAGATATCTTGGAGAGAGCCACTATGGGGTTAGGGAGAAACCCGGGGCTAGGGAAATTCCTAGGAATCTACAAGGATGATCCCAGCTAAGACTCCTAGCAATAGTGGAGAAGGTGGCTGAATTGACCTTCCCTTGTAATCAGATAGGTGAATATCCCAACTGTCATCATAGAGCTTTCATTCCATAATTTATGGAAACAGAGGCAGAGATCCACAACCAAGCACCAGGCTGAGTCCTGGGAATCCAGTTGAAGAGAGGGAGGAGGGAATATATGAGCCAGGGAGGTCAAGATCATAAAGGAGAAATCTACAGAGACAGCTGAACAAAGCTTGTGGGAACTCATGAATTCTAGAACAACAGCTATGGCGTCTCCCAGACACCAAACTAGGCCTTCTGCATGAGGGAGAGAGTTGTATAGTTTGGTCTATCTGAGGGGCCTTTAGAAGTTGGACCAGGATCTATCCCTGGTGCATGAGCTAGCTTGTTGAAGCCCATTCCCTATGGTGAGATGCCATACTAAGCCTTAATGCAGGGGAATGGGGCTTGGTCCTCCCTCAACTTAATGGGCCAGGCTTTCTTGACTCCCCATGGGAGCCCTTAGCCTTTGGAAGAGTGGATGGGTGGTGAGTTGGGAGAGGGGAGAGAAGGTGAGGAAGAATGGGAGGAGGGATGGGAGGAAGAACTGTGATTGGAATGTAAAATGAAATTTTTAAAAATTCATTTAAAAATGTACCTGGTTGCTTTCCCCTTGAATTTTTCACTGTGCTAAAGTAAAAAAAAAAACTAATGAGATGGCCAACTTTACTGATATAATTATTTCGGCATACTCTTCAAACGCTGCCATTGCATGGACAGCTAAGAAACCTCTGGTAGGTTCTAGCACCGTATTCTAGCCCAGCTTTCTACACATCAATCATCACCAGCAAGCAGCTCTTGCCGCATCTGAGCCAGCAATGCTGTGCAGCAGAAAGACTCAAAAAAAGAAGATGTAGTGAGGCATGGAATGTAAGGGCATCAGTTTTGAGAAGCAAAATACACCATCAACTCCAGGTGAAGATCATCATTGTGTGTCTGTTCCACTTTGAAGAATGACCAACATTGGGAGCAGTCCAACCACCAGACAAAGGACAGCTACCTCTTTGGCTTGGGAAGCCTTAACCAGGTTTCAACCTCACATTCTAAAGCCAGAGTGTAGGGCCTCCCTCCCTGGCTTGGAGTCTTCCTTAAAATCTAGCTGCAGATCTCCTGCAGACCAGCCTGGATCACCTACTTTTACTCCCTGAGCCTGCCTAGGCCAGTTCCTTGTGCCTTGTGTTGCCTCCACAGGGCAAGTGCGAGCTGATGACACACTTGTCTGCCAGCACAATACTTAGAAACCTCTGCCTTGACGATCACATGCATTAAATTGTTTCCTGAAGTAATAGAAAAACGAGAGGGTGGGGGGTCATGACCAATATGGAGACTGAATAGAAAACAGAATCAAGGAACCAAATCTTAGCCACAGGATGAATTCCATAACAGCTTCTTTTTACTAAACTATTTCCCTAAAGTAATTCCCACAAAGCGAATATATTTGGTAATTAGGAAAAAAAAATGTCAAAGAGGAGAATTACTGTTCTCAAGATTTTGATTTTAACATGAATATAAACCCATTCTCATTTAAACTCCTCCATGCTGACTCTATTATCCAATTATTTCTCAACTTCTTAAAAAAAATTTTTAATTTAAAGTTTGATGGACATTAATGGGACCTAATGAAATTTAACTCCAAGCCAACAATATCTTCACAAAGAAAAGTAGAGGAGCTTAATTCCTAGACCCATTCATTTCAGAGAACAGATAGTAACCTCAAACCAACACTTTCACAAGAAACACGCTGCTTGGCCACCTTTTATTTATCAGCATTGAAAAGCCGGCTACCTACTAATAAGACAGTTTTCTTCAAAGATGTATTGTCCCTGATCCTGGCAGTGCCTCGGTGCTGTTGGGGGTCTTTAGAAAGCATTTAACTCTGGCCGAGGGGTAGGGCATGGGTCACCTCAACATTTGCCTGTCCCATGGAGGGGCAGACAGGCACCAAACTAAGCGAGAGTGAAGCTGGCAGAGTTCTAATTGACGGGAACGGAAAGAGCTGACACTTAGCCAGGATACAGCACAATACAGAGCAACGAGCCTCTGTTACAAGCCTCAGACTTGGTATAAATTTTTATGTATCTAGAGTATTTTTCATAAAGCAAAAGGATGTCTCCTATACTGCTTTTGTGTATGTGCATGTTTGTGTGTGTGTGTGTGTGGTTTTGTATGTAGACTAAGTTTTTGGAAGCCAGGGGTTCATGTCTTGTGTCTTCCTCAATCATTTTCCATTTTATTTTTTGAGATATCATCTCACTTTGAACCCAAAGCTCGTTAGACTGACTAGAACAGCCAGTCAGCCTGTCCCAGAGGCTCTTGTGTCTCTGACTCTCTTGTGTTTGTTAGGATAACAAACACACCACCCATCAAAATATAGAAAGAACACAAATGTCCATCAGTGGATAAACACATGCCAACGTGGAGGAGTACATACATCATTCCATTCCCAGGGTACATTCAAAAGAACAGCTCGAATCAGTGGCTACCAGGGCCTGAGAGAATCTACTTATTGAGACCACTATCTGCTTTTGAGCCTACATAAAAGCTATGGTTGCACAACATGCTGAATGTGTCAAACAGAAATGCTTCATAATAAGGTAAAATGACAAATTTGAACTCAATAAAAACATTGAAAACTATAAAATCAAACTTTCCCTTCACCTAGCATGACACCCGATCCCTATGGATCTGGGGCCGTTTTACTAATGCAGACCAAGTTGTATACAGGAGACACATCATCCAGCCACTCAGGCTATCCAGATAAAGCTCACAACAGTAGAGACAAGTCGTTTCTAGAAACAGGACACTTATTTCACACACCGAAGACACAGTGGTTAGAGCCACGCTCTCTGCTGTGTGGTCATCTCTCAAGAGTGATCACATCTGGGCGTGATTACATCTCTTCCTTCTCCACCAGTCACACAGACGAGCACAGCCTCTTCCCACATGGAAAGGGAGGTGTCTTCAAACATGACACTTCTCAGAGCACTGGCTAGGCCCCCGACCCTCCAGAGAGATTACCTTTAGCAATCTAATGGCGGTCACCCAGCACATCCTGCTCTGCTCTTCCTCCGCACAGAGCATTTTCAGGTCCCGGGGCCCTCCTGCTTTGTGAGGCTAGAAGGCCACAGCACATGGTTTATTGTTAATGCAAATCTTGAAGGTAACACCTGTTGAAATAAAAGTCACTAAAATTCTCCTAGTCATAAGAGAACTCTGTCTTTTCTTTTTTTTTAAAAAAAAAAAAAAAGGAAGAAAGAAACCAGAAACCAAAAGACGCCCAAGCTTACCTAAAAAACTGAGGCTTTCTTTAACCATCTACCAAAACATTAAACCTGTACCTTAAAGCAGAATCCATAGGCAGTCGGTGCTCCGTGCTTTTTTTTGCCCGCCAGTGACATGTAAACATTACTAGTGCTGAATTCGCTGAAAAACTGCAAATGTCGTGGTTCCTTTAAGAAACATACATGTGAATGTTGAAATAGATGTAAATGGTTTCACAATAGCTTCTGTATTTTTCCTGTTACACGATTTATAACTTGGGCAAGAGAAAGTCACCTCAAACAATATGCCAGTGCAACGTCATAGAAACAAAAGGAAGGGAGTTGCCACTTCCTTAAATAACCAGGAGCTGCAAACAATTTCATTTCAATTGGCAAATGGCAATTTGTTTTATTAACAGACAAATTCCCATTTTAAGTTTCCTAGTCTCGTTAACCGTTAACCATAGTATCAAGCTAACAGAGAAAAGAGAAAACCTCAAATGCTTTTAAAAGTGTTTCCTGCATCTCGGAGGTTCTACTACAGGAGGAAACTTGGCTTCTTGAGAAGAAAATGGGGAAAGGAAAAGAAAACCTCTGCTTCTTGCAGACAGGATCATCCCTCACATCCATGTGCTGTCTGGCAACAGGCCTTGGCCATCTTGTTCCACAAAAGAAGCGGCGTCCGCACAGACGAGCTGAGGGAAATTACCTGGGATGGAATGTGTCTGACTGTCAGGGCAAAGGGAAATCGTGAGCGGCTATTTCTCCTCTGGAAAATCCGAGAGATTTGAGCTGGCCATGGGAAATCACTAGGTCACATCATCCCGCGATAGGTTAATAACTTGGAGAAGTGCTTAATTCTGAGGTGGACTCAATAATCAAAACTGGCCCGAATGCATTTGTTCTCCAGAACCTTGCTACTAGCGGTGTGGTCACTGAACCCCAGGACCTGTTCCTCCCGGGAGCATGTTAGAAATGCAAAATCCCAGGGCCCATGTGGGGCCCGCTGAATCAATATCTGCATTTTAACAAGATCCCAGGTGGTCTCGTATGCACAGTGTTTAGCAACAGCACACGCACCACGCAAGCACGCACACACACACACACACACACACACACACACACAAATACACTCAGCAGTGTGAACTGGAATACATTTCATTGTCATTTGCCAGTAAGCTATCCCAACTCAAAAGATGTCATTGTGTATCACTATTCCTAAGCATTTTAATCTAAAAAGTGTACTTCTTTGGAGAATAAAGCAGAAAATTTTTAATTATTTATTTATTTTGGGTTTTGAAACGGTCTCTCTATATAGTCCTGGCTATCCTGGAACTCAGTATGTAGTTCAGGCTGGCCTTGAACTTACTAAGATCCTCTCAATGTTCTAGAATTAAAGGTATGTACCACCATGCCGGGCCTGAAAATATTTTTTGGAAGAAAACCTTTGTTATGGAATAATCTTTTTGTACACTGTGAAGATGTGTCACTTGAATTGATTTAACAAAAAGCTGAATGGCCAAATAGTTAGGCAGGATTTCCAGGCACAGAGGATACTGTAACAAGATTGTAGGAGATGCCAGAGTTGCAGAACAAGCAACATGGGCTTTACAAAGTAAGGGTAACCAAGCCACATAAAAGATTGTAGATTAAAAGACGTGGCTTAATTTAAATTAAAAGAACTAGTTAGAAACAAGCCTAAGCTATCAGCCAACTATCATGATTAATAACAGTCTTCATTTGGTTATTTGGGTTCTGGCAGGTGGGACAGAAAAGACTTGCTATACATCTTCTTTAATAAAAAATAAAATAAAATGAGGAATTGAAATAGAAAGGTTTTCTTACTGTTGTGATATTTTGGAATATATATTATCATTGACAGAACCTAATTCGATAATAAAAATGCATACTAAAAGGCTATGTAGATGTAGTTATCAAAATCTATTGGTATGCTTATGTAAGGAAAAAGAACGAAAGATGGTACTTAGGGCTTTCACTAACATGTAATTCCCAGCCATATCGCCAAGTTTTATGGTAGTGATTAGTAAGTCCCATGCAACCTTCCTTGGAAGTGAAAGTATTCAACCAAGACACCCTCATAAGAAAAATAAGGAACAAAAATGAGAAACATTTTCTTTACTAGGTAGACATACCATGTAGTACATCGGATAACATAAATATTAAGGTCTAAAAAACGACTGAAGTTCTCTTATTTCCATCGATATTTTTAAGTTGGTGAATTTAGAATTTTCTCCATACATAAATTATATTATCGTGTGTGTGTGTGTGTGTGTGTGTGTGTGTGTGTGTGTGTGTGTGCGCGTGCGTGTGCGCGCGCGCGCTCTTGTGGAGATTTCAAAGGAAAACTTGTGGGAGTCAGTTCTCTCCTTCCCACATGTGAGTTCAAACAACCTCGAACTCAGTTTGCTAGGTTTAGCAGTGAATGCCTTTACTCACTGAGCTATTTTTGCCTGCCTCCTATGTAGACTAGAAGAATATTATGATATCAATTGACAGCCAACATTTAAAATATTATTTCCCCAAGTCTTATAATAGGTAATTATTTATTTTATTTATTTATTTATTTATTTTGCCTGCCTCTGGAGACCAGTTGTATAAACTGGTGTAGGGGCTGGAGAGATGTTTCCGTGGTTGATAGTATTTACTGCTCTTGTAGAGGGCCTGGGTTCAGTTCCCAGCTCCTAAGTGATGGCACACAATTGCCTCTAACTCCAGCTCCAGACGCTTCTGACCACTACAGGACCCTGCATACATGTGGTGAACAGACATATGCTCAGGCGCACAGCACAATGCATGTATAAAATAAAATGAATATTTTTTTTTTAAAGAAAAACTGAAAATTCTATTGGACTTCAAAATCGGAAACCTCAGCTGAGTAAGGAGAACCAGAAAATTGGTTTGTAGTGGGAGGAAATAATGCCTTTGATATGGGAATAAGAGCAACCAGGCTCCACAAATGCTACAGGACAGATAAAATCAGTGGAAAGTAAGTTCAAAGACTTTTAAAAAGTATTTTAGCAGATGACTAGGATTCAGATAAATTTCCAACTCTGGACATCAACTAAGAAAGAAACTGCCATAACGAAGTCAAACTTGATATCTTAGAGCTAATAGATAGTTCATAACATACCGCAGATACTGGCTTACCTTTGATGTACCTTTAGTAGAAAAGTATAAACCAGATCTCCTCAGAAAAAAGTAAACTTTTTTCCAAGACTTCTTTCCTTGTTCTTTTGCATGTAGAAAGCCATGGATTTCGGGATATGTGCTTGAACTTAAAAACACCTGGAAAACACATTAGATGCATTCATAATATTATGGGAGCAATGATGGCAATAGTAAAAATAGTAAAAACAGGTAAAAACCTGTCAGATATGAGCACACAAAATTTAACTGTAGCAATGGTGTTTGTACTGTACAGAGATTACAATGCATGCTTCATAGAACTCCATCAATAACTGGCACAAGTTCCACATTAGGGGTCTTCAGAAAATATACACTCAGAGTAATCAATAATCAGATAAAAACCCAAATCACAAATTATTTGAATGTCTACACAAAACTGGGCATTATCTGGAGAATTACGTCCTGATACGTTTCATCTTTTCTACTTATAGATTCCCAAATAAGTATTTTGTCTTTAAAAGATATTATGCAATGCAATATTCTGTAGGTTCACTATCCTGACTTCACTCTTTACTCAGACAGCTGAGACAAGTTTGCCTGCCTAGTTCTAGCTTGATGGCTTCCACGAATTGATTCATGGAAACCAGCTGTCAGAAAAAAGAGAGAGAGAGAGAGAGAGAGAGAGAGAGAGAGAGAGAAAGATGGGTTACTTGAGACCCCCATGGGCAAGAAGTCTAATGAAAGTGGGAAAGCCCTGGAGAATGAGACACCACGTGGAGAGACAGAGTGGAAAGTTGGCTTTGAAGGGGATGCTCAGCCTCTAGCCACTGAGTCCAACAGCTACAGAACCGAGCCAACCAGCAAACTCTTACCCAGCTCATGCCCCACAAAATGACTGGCAAAATGTTCAGATTTGGACCAGTTGGTTACAAAGCAGTAATTGGTTTAGGCAGTGGGCATGTGATACTGGGGAAAAGGCAAAGAAGAGCCATGAGTGGCTATGCTGTGTCCTTATTAAGACAGTGAAAATGCATTAGCGACTCCTAAATGGAAACAGAAATCCCTATGAGTACACACAGACGCAAAAATAGGAAAATTTAAAATAGCGGAAATCGTTAACTGGAATGGTGTAATATACCCTAAAGGCCTGCAATACATTCAGGGAAATGCTGATAGGAGATATTTACATTTTTAAGTAAATCACTAAAATTTTTTGATGCAATGAGCCATTAATTAATTGATATGCAAAACAGGGAACTAGGTTTTTCTTTTTTTTAAGTTTGAGTGCTTTCCAAGTTATTAAACCAAACCAATTAAATTTTTAAAGAAGAGTCATAGGGGTCACGCTAGAAAGAGAAGAAACCTTTTAAAAAGTAGAAACATTGCCTCAGTGGAGAAGAGAGGTCAGGGCGTGCACTGGACTATCTGATTCTAAAGCCTGTGATTTTCCTTTTTATTATAATTTAACATTGAGGCAAAAGAATCATGGGAGAGGACAATTTAGGAAACGAAGTGGAAGAAAAACTCATTCCCACCACCACATCACACAAATCAATGAAGAATCCGCAGGCAAAGCTTTGGGGTTCCCCGCTACTATTCCAAGGGGTGCCTCCATGAGACCCTGCAGCATATAAGCTGTTTGTAGAAAAAAAATTTCTCTAACAATATTTATTGAATATCCTTAAGGATAAAAATAAAACACCCCTATTTAAAAATCCGCAGAAAAGAAAAGTGTGCTAAATGCCCCTGCCTAATATATCAAAAGGCAGGCTATAAACACTGGACCAGAGACCATTACTATTAATTGAATTTGTGAATACCCAGGTTTGGCTTAAACAGCACTAATGAACCTGTGAAAAACAACCGTAGCTGCCAGATCTCTTAATCTCTTGGAAATAACATTACCCAAAGAGTTGACTGTAAACACAATGCCTGAGTAAACAACCCTTCCAAGCCACAGACAGGGTAACAGAAATAAGCCCAGTGGTCATAAGGTCAACTTTCTGGAGATGCTAAGGATGTTTTAGGATTGATGCATGTGTTTCCCTCACAGCACCGCAAGTGCTGGCTTATGGAATGAATGCATTGCACACCCCTTCTCTTCTATTCATTTAACTGCTGTGCATTTTCTCTCAAATACCAGTCAAATGTCTGCAGCTTACTGAGAAGATGCACATTTTTTGACAGATGCTCATTTTTAAGTATAAATCGCATGCAAGTTTTCTTTCACAGAAAACTTTTTTTTAATTTTGAAAATTCTTTACCATGAGGATGGGCAATGCTAATTTATTATTTAGCAAATTATTTATTCAGGTTTTTTTTTCCTTTTTATCTTCAGGGAAAAATGTGAATCTTGCAGGCTATAACATTTCAAAATCTGGCAAAAATTTAGGAAGTTAGGAAAGCAAGGTTTCCATTTTGGTGTTCTTACATATTTCAAGGAAAACATTTTACCTGCAGCATTTGTGTAGGGGATCTTTCACCATTGGTCTCAGTTGCAAAAGACACCATGTGCTCTGGAAAGAAATACTGACCAAAGACAGAAGTTAAATCAGTCCCAACCCTTTGCCAGGAAAGATGCCATGATGGCAAAACATCTTAAAACCAGCATGTCTAAAATTCCCACAAAATGATTTGAAAAATGCCATTCCTGAACCTAAAGAAATGGCCTCTTAAAGAACCCAGGTGGCAGTGCGTCCTCAGATCAGCTGATACCCCAATCACACTAATGGAGAAATCCTAGTCCTTGAGTTTATATTGAATTTGCTCTAATCTATTCCTTCAGTTCCGCAATCACCCTACCAGATACTGGAAGGTCTGACCCATTTCACAAAGTCAAGATGTAAGGGGCAAAGGCTTTGTCAAAAGTCATAGGCCAGAACACAAAACAGCGAGGACTCACCTGGAAGGCTAAAAGGCCACTCATTTCTTCCCACTCTTTCTCCCGACTAGTGTAATCATAAAATCCACCCCTAGAAGTTGTTTAAAATAGAAAATCCCAGCGCTTCATTCTTGACTTTTCTGATTCAGTAGATTTGGACAGGTCTCGAAGTCTGTGTTTTAAATAAGTCCTGGGGCTCCCCGAGGTAAATTTCATGATAAGAAAAGTTTGGAAACATATATTCTACTCTATTTACTTCAAGAGCGGGTTAGTCAACGGCCGTCTACTAATACCATGGTCGAAAACTTCAGCGCTTGTTGGGGCTGACCTGTGGGTTAGGGATGGTTAACACCCAGCTTTCTACCCTCACCCGTGCTGCGTGGATAAAAAACAAAACAAACAAACAAACAAAAAAGCCCCTATAGATTGTTACATCACCCCCAAGTTAAGAACCACTACTCAGATCTAGAAAAATGAATGTCAAGTTTTATTTAAATAAAAATAAATAAAATGAAAATTGTACTCTAAGCCATATTTCCTTCAATATAACCTTTAAATGAGTGCCTTAATAAAGACTCCCACAAGAAAATACTTTTCTTTTGAATCTAATTTCATTTCATCGTTATTAGAACTCTCGTTTTCTTTGTCAAAGATCAACCCATTATGTTTCTATTAATAAGTTACAATAAAAGAGAACATAAGAGGTCTTCCAGGGTTTGAAAATATTCTATTATGGTGTGTATCATATATTTTTCATAAAGGATTGTTTCAATCCAATTATCCAAAACTTAGTATAAAAATACACCACAGCTGCAGAGACAAAAACAATTTAAAATAATGAGCCCAGAGGCGATTCTGACTTCTCTGAATCCGCAGACTTCATTAGGATGACATGCACTTACTTTCTTTTAAAGAGAACTGTAATGAACACAGTGTTTACTAGGTAATGCGCTGTTCTCTATCTCATTTCTACTTAGTTCAGAAGTTACTACGCTGGAAATGAAGTAATTTGAAGAAAGAGATAGATCAGTCTTAAGTATCTGGTAAGGCTACAGTGCTTGTAACAATCACCAATTTAATTTAGAGAAGGCCTTACTTCCCTTAATTCTATGAATTGTTCTAAACTGTAATGTTCTGGAAGACACGTGGGGACCTGTAACAATTCATTTTCTAAAGCAAATACAGGATTTCTTTGGCTTTGTGTCTTAAGAAAGTATCTCCCAATTGGTTTTCCCAATAGTTTGCAATTAAATAACCAAATTCACTTCGATTCAGATTTTGTCAAAAATGCTGCAGCTTTTTACCTGTGAATGAAAACGACCGTGCATCACGTTAGCTCACCATTGCCAGAATAAGTAACCAGAGCGCAAATCCAAAGTAACTAGCTCTATCTTACTCCGAATAATGCTCTGCTGCACATAAAGTTTAATTGACTCATTTCACTCTGCCACTGTTAATGGAGAGTCCACTCACCATTGGGTTCTTAAAAAACTCATATTTGGCATAATTTTTTCTAAGATACAGCTTATTGTCTTCTTCCATCCCCCAGTGAGACAGCACTTCAACCACCAGCTCATGGTCTTCTATTGTTCTTTCTGTAAGAATGTTTCAATGAGAGGGTTGATAGACACAGAGATAGTTCAGCAGACAAACATGGAGATACACCCAGCTACATCAGCACACAAACATACAGAGTAAATTATGTAGGACCCACAATGCATTATTAAGCAGCAAGTTTTGTCTAAGTTCTTAAATACCTACACTGGCAAGATTTCTTTTCAATTCTGAATTATTATATTGACTTTTGTGCCAACACAGTCATCTAAAAAGAAAATTACATAGAATATCACAAATGCCATTTCTGCTAATTCTCAGTCTCCTTCTATTGCTATGTAAATTGCAGTATAAGTTTGATGACAAATCTGTATTAAGACATGAGAGCTATTCTTTCTTTAACTCATCATGGTGCCAAAATTAAAATATTTGCTCCAGGTTTGAACAATTCACCTCATTAAGAGATGAAGAATTTTGACAGGTTCACTGTGCATTTTAAGACTCATATTCTAGGTAGCTGAAAAATTTAAAACAGTTGCTTTAAAGGGAAATTTCCACTCGTGTGGATACAATTTTTTGTGAAGCTCAATTCCTTGTGGCACTTTAGACTCTCAAAACTAATTCAAGGAAAATAGATCCTGTATTAACAAAGAAGATAATTAAAGTAGGAAAGTACTTAGTAGAAAAGAAAAAATATCAAATGAACCAAGCAGTGGTAACTTTAAAAAAGTCAAACATAATCAGCATAGCATCTATTGTAATGTAAACTGTGATGGTATTTCTATTATTCATAACATCCCAAACTGGAGACTACCTATACACCCATATATGGAGACATAAAAATGATTTTTAAGAGCACACTAAAACTATATTCTACAATAATCCCACAGAAATCTCAAAAGTGAAAGAAGATGTATATTGCATGAGTCCTTTCACATAAGGTTCCGAGTGAGGAAAATTCATCCATGTAGCCAGGAATAATGGAGATGGAAGGTGAGTGGGGAGTGCATGAAGCAACTGAGTGAGGTCACAATTCTGCTCATTTCTGTAGATGCTACTCGGGAACAGGCCGTGTATGAAAAGGCACGAAGCTGCCCCCATGGGTTGAACTCCCCTTTCTTGGTGTAGCTCAGTCTCCAACAAAAAGTCAGGAAATTTTAATTATGAAATTGCCGATATGGAAGAGAAAGCCTAGAATAGCTAAAAAGGGAATATGGACTCCTCTGTTCTTTAAATGTTCCTAGGACCTCTTTGAAAAGAAGCAGCAACGTCTCAGAGGTTCAACACTCAGACATGATCTGGGCCATATTATAGGAACCCTTGTAAGCAAACACACTTAAACAGAAACCTGTTCTCTTAAAGGAATTCGTCTCAATGTATACCGATGAGTTGTAGTAACTGCTCATGGGCAAGCCAAATTCCGGCCTTAGGTGGATCAGATACCATTGTTGCCATCCCACTGGCTTGTTCCTTTCATTGCTTCCGTTTCCAGAACCCAGGCTTTGGCCTCATTCTTTCCTTTCTTCTCCAAATGAAGTGGCTCCTTTTGACACTTCCATAGAGTTCCCCAAAGTGAATCTCTGCCTAAAATTGCCCTCCCCACTGCTGAGATTCTCCACTCCCTTAAAAAACATTTGCCAAGAGCCAAGGTCCACACCATCATTTTTTTAAAACAATAGATCAGAATCATGACTCAGTGACACCCCCAATTTCACATCTGGCTCTAAGTCCTGCAGAAATGAAAGTTAAACTTCCAGAAGATATTTGTGCCTAAAGAAGGTAAAAACAATACCATGCCCGTGGAGGACATAATTAACACAATAGAAAATAGATATAGATAAATAGATATAAAATAGAAAATGAATAAACAAGATAGAAAATCAGCCTTAAAATCAATAGATATAGATAAATAGATATAAAATAAATAACAAATGAACAAGATAGAAAATCAGTCTTAAAAGAAAAGAAGGTAGCCGGGCGGTGGTGGCGCACGCCTTTAATCCCAGCACTCTGGAGGCAGAGGCAGGCAGATCTCTGTGAGTTCGAGGCCAGCCTGGTCTACAAGAGCTAGTTCCAGGACAGGAACCAAAAAAAGCTACGGAGAAACCCTGTCTAGAAAAATCAAAAAAAAAAAAAAAAGAAAAGAAAAGAAATGAAGGTATGATGTATTCTAAACATGATAAACCCTAAAGACTCTGTACTAAAATAAATAAATCTTTTTTAAAAAAAGACTCTGTACTAAATGAAATCAGACAGACACAAAAACACTGCCAGGAGGTGGTGGCACACACCTTTAATCTCAGCACTCGGAGGCAGAGGCAGACAGAAGTCTGTGAGTTCAAGGCCAGCCTGGTCTACAAGAGCAAGTTCCTGGACAGGCTCCAATGCAACGGAGAAAAAAAACAAAAATAACAACAACAACAAAAAAAGACAAACACCCCATAAAAAACCCCATAAAGGTACCAAAAATACTCCAATGTAAAGTAACAGAGAAACAAATAGGAGTTTCCAGAGCTGGCGGGAAGGAGAAATAGAGAATTACTGCTTAACTAGTAAAGCGTTTCAGGGTGGGAAGAGAGCATCCTACAGGCAGGTGCGGGTCTACAGAGCTTATGTGGCGTATACACCCACTGAACTGCATAGTTACATTGGCTAAGATGCTAAATTATATTTATGCTGTTCTTCCACAATTTAATAGTGTGCTTCACTACCCTTACAATTATCTTCCTTTCAAACCTAGAAGTACTTGTTCTTCTTCAAATATTATTTTCGTGAATGTTAATATCATCTCATTTTGCCATACTCTCTCAAAGAAACGTCAAACTAAAAATCCCTTCAGCATGTTTTTCTGCCTCCCACTCTGTGTCCTTCACTCCTAATAGTCCCAGCTGTCCATTGTGCTCTCTCCACATCCTCCTCAGAAACAACAAACCACCACAGCCCATTCCCGATGCCACCATGCCAGTGGGCCCCCATCTTTTCTCACAGAATCTCTTTGCTAGTCCCCAAACCTCCAGTTACTCTTTGTATCTATGATGCACTGGTGTCATAGCAGTCAACCCTCAACCACTGCCCATAAGATAACTGCCCAAAAGACTTATGAATTTATACTTCTCATGAAATGAAACTGTAAGAGCTGGCAAGGACACCTTATCCATCCATCTATCCATTCAAATTGTTACCAAAGGCCTGCAAGAGTCAGATGCTCCTCTTAGGATCTGGAGGGTTTGAAATGGACAAAACCAGAAGAGAAGGACTGCCCTGGTGAAGCCCCTAATAGGAAAGCACAGACAATAAATAAAATGTAAGCCCTTTAAAGATGGCAATAAACTCGACAAGAAAGGATGGCACAGAGAAGACAGAATGTGCTGAGAGCAAGGGAAAGGTCTCATTTCCAGTGGCTTTACAGAGAAGGGCCTGTGGTGAGGGTGATCTTCCAGCAAAGATGCCAACAAGAAGGCCAGAGCCAAGCACACACTGAAGAGTAAGAAGGCTGCGCCCGGGGTGAGGATGAGGCTGGGATGTGTGATGCACAGCAAGGCGGTGGGCATAAGTAATGCTGAATGAGTGACAGGACAGAACCAGGAGAAGAGATTCTAGAGGCGTAGAGAGAGGGGTGTTGAACCCCACCCTCCAGGATAAGGACTTACGGGAGACAGTACAATGAACAGAGGAACAACATGAAACAACAGGTTTGGACTGTTATAGCAGCATCACACTCACCATTGACTGTAAAGTGGATTTTTAACAATTCCAAGGACTGAAAACATGAAGTCCACTTAGGAAGTTGATTGGAGTTAACCTGGGCAGGCTAGATTAGATGATAGAGATTAGACTGACATAGTGGCTGTGGGCTTTGTAAAAGGTGGGAGGAATCTGCATGCATCTGAAGATCTAAGCAGTGGGAACCAAGGAAAGACTCCAAATGTGTGCATAAAAAGGCCACTGCAATTTTCAGTCTAATCTTGGAAGGACTGCAATTAGTAAGAAGGAACTTGGAAGACTTAGACCACGCTAGTGCGGCCGAGAGATCAATGGCCTGCAGCGCAGAGCGGCATTTTAGCAATCTCTGAGTACTAACTTCCGTTTATCTTCCCACAAATCTAGCTCATGCCTCTAAGCTAAAATGGGTGCACATGTTGCACACAGAGTGTATACCTATATTCTTTGCAACCGCCAAGAGAAGAAATTCAATAATGATAGCTGTGTCCTGGCTTTTAGTGATCTGTGTTTCTTTGTACAGTTGCCTGTCTCTAACAATAAGGAAGAAGTTTATGCCCCGCCTTGAAGGTATATCAACACAGAGACGACAAAGCAACAGACAGCCATTTTCTTGATGGTTAAACTTCAAGATATATGTAATCAATCTTTGGCAGATCAAATTGCTTAGGAAGAATCCCGTCTAGCATGGTCCTCTGCTGCCTCAGACAAGGATCCAACCTTATCTGCAAAGGGAGTTACAGGTAAGGGAATAATGAAGGAGAGAGAGAGCCAAGTCAGACCCTGGGTCATGTAGGAACCAAGGACTCTATCTGCTCCCCTTCAGGAACAGAAGCACTTTCAGGGTGCCATGGTCCCTATAAGCTGTAATGTGAAGAGTGACTAAAACCATAGACTTAATTTTTTAGTCCTCAAGAACCCATGCATCAAATAGAAGCAGATGTTGGTGGCAATGCCAACCTTACAGCATACCAGGATGAGTGTTATGTATTCAGAAGGAAGGTGGGAGAGCTGAAAAATCTAAATAAATAAATAAATAAATAAATAAATGAATAAAAAAGGCCTTGTGTTTTTCATAAAGGAAGAATGAGACAAGCAGGAGCTTCCAGAACATGGAGAAGACAGTGACGCAAGGGTAAGATAAACACCTTGGCCGAGAATGATGTCTCCCACCAGGATGCTGGAAAGGTAAAAGGGGTCTCAATGGTCGAATATAAACATTTCAAACCAAAGGCAGCTCACCGCAGAACTTGAATTATTGACCCCAACAGCACAATCTGGACTGCCAACAAAAACCATGAGGTTAAATTCTCTGTTTTTC